AAACCTGCGGGGAACTCTGCAAAAAACGCATCTTCGCACGGGCAGCCCGTGCGCTGGCCATTTATCCTCCCTTGATCTGTGGTCTCAGGTCCAAACACTTACTAATTTTATTGTTTGAGAACCAAGGAACCAGCAGGTTAAGGTTGATTCTTTTTATAGCCTGAGAAAAATATCTTGAAATCTGATTCGTATCGTTAGTTTGTAATGATCTATGCATTCAGGCTCGAAGCTGGACTTATTTTAATTCGATAGCCAGGAAAAAATCCCCACTCGAAGCCGAATTTATTTTATAATTCGATAACCAGAAAATGAAAAACCCAAAAGTTAAAAATTTTGATTTTTAGAAATGGCCTAGAGCAAATTTCATGGAATTATCGCTTCTTTTGTAACTCAAGAAACGAGGGAGTTACTAGATGGCGATCTCGTAGATTATTCCACCAAAAGTTTAAGATCAAAAGCACAGATTCATTTTTCAGGCCTTGGTGCATCCCGGCTAAGATCTTGGGCATAAATTTAGATTGATTTTAGAAGCTCTAACTTCCAAAACCGAATTTTCCGCAACAAACGGCAAAAAATCATAATCGCATCGGTTTCCCGGTGCGGGTCACCGGTTTTTGCTCAAGTTGAAAATGATAATTTTAGCATTGGTCTTCTGTGCGAAGGAAGAGAAACGAAGGAAAAGAAGAAACGACGAGCAGTTCACGAATGTGACGTAGGACCAAGGCTACTCAGATGTAACGCAGGATCAAGTGCAGTCAGATGTGACGCAGGACCAAGTAGTACAGTCAGATGTGGCGTAGGGCCGAGGGCAATGAGATGTGACATGGGACCAAGTACAGTTAGATGTGACGCAAGACCAAGTACAGTTAGATGTGGCGCAGGACCAAATAGTACAGTCAGATGTGACATAGGAACAAGTGCAATTAGATGTGACGTAGGGCCAAGTGCAGCCAGATGCAACGCAAGACCAAGTAGTACAGTCAGATATGACGCAAAACCAAGGACAGTCAGATGTGACGTAGAACAAAGTACAGTCAAATCTGACGTAGGACCAAGGGCAGTCAGATATCAAGTAGGAGCAAGTGCCGTTAGATGTGAAGCAGGATCGGGGATAGGATCAAGTACAGCCAGAGAAAGTCCGAATGAATTCTATCAGTTGGACAGTGAATTCCTGATGTGTTTGTTTAAGAGGTTAGTTTTTTTTTTCTTTTTTTAGTCGCATATTTTTGCCTCTTTTAACTAAAGCATTAAAATAATTAAAATTGATTCATATGCTTAAAATTATTACGAGTGAGATGTTGGAGTTGATTATGTTGGACTTCAAAAACAAAAAATCCCTGAACCGGAAATGCCACCGAATGTCTGGATGGTTCATAGATTTTTTATGCATTTTATGCTGTGCAACAGCCGCACAGGGGTCTTCTGTGTGTATGTATGTGTGTGTGTGTGTTTGTCCACAGCAACTTGTACGCAACTTTCAACTCGGGAGCCACAAAAGCTAGGAAGCTTGAATTTTTCAGAGGAATGTTCCTCGCCCACGTGTGACCACGCAAATTTAATTTCAGCCTTCCCATACCCTTGGTTACCATCTACGACCCCATGAAAGTTTTGGAAGGAAAAATTATTATTTTAAGCCTATTTCAGCAGTCGTCTTGACCCCTCACTGAGAAAAATTTTGTATCAGCCTTTGTTTCGCAAATTAGATTCGCAGATTTTCTTATTTAATTGGAATAGTCAACAGTTTGCTGTACAAAAAACGTGTCGGCTTGTTAGTCACAAATACGGGTATTACGGCGAGGGTTGAAGACTAAAGATTGTTAGTTAAGGGCAAAACTGACAATCATCGACGCTTTTCCCGTTAGCCTAAAACAAATATGCACCTATATAACTATCTTTTCTCTCCCCTTCTCATTTTCCCCCTTGTATCCTTTTAATTTTTACCACTGGTCACTATTAGTCACTACAGTTACGCTTTAATCAACACTCTCCATTCTCCTCATTCTCCATAATTTAGCTGCATAAATCCAATCCTCACCCCTCCCATTCAATATCTCACATACACACATACAATTTTTGGTCATTCCCTCATCAACAAT